GGGTAATACTGGTCTCCTAGAATGAGTTTGGAAATATTTCCTCCTCTTCACCTTTTTTTGAAGAGTTTGAAGATTTGGTATTAGTTCTTTTTAAAATATTTAATAGAATCTAGCAGTGAAGCCCTCAAGTCCTAAGATTTTCTTTGATGAGGGACTTTTCTTTTTCTTTTTTTCCCCCTCTTTATTTTATTTTAAAGGTGTGAGGTACAAGTCAGGATTAGGTACATAAGTAGTCTATGTACAGGTGAAATTTGGGCCTGCCACTGGTCCTCACTTCTGGTTTAGTTACCCTTAGTGATGGGTGCCACTTCCTTCCCTCCTCTGGCAGTGTCCTGCTACTACCAATTCCTTTCTTGTTGTATTGTGATAAATGTTCAGGACCCACTTATGAGTGAGAACATGTGATTTGCAGTTCTTTGTTTCTGTGATAGATTGCTGTGTATGATAGACTCTGAATCCATCCAAGTTGCTGTGAAGTCCGTATGATTGCCCTTCTTTATGGCTGTTTAATATTCCATTGTGTATATGTACCACTTTTTTTTTTTAATCCAGCCCACTTTCAATGGGCAGCACAGTTAGTTCCATGTTTTTGTTATAGTGAATAGTGCTGCAATAAACATGCATGTGCAGGTATGTTTTTTGTAGAATGATTTTAGTTCCTTTGGGTCTATTCCCAGAAGGGAGATTGCTGGGTCATATGGGAGCTCAATTTCTAGATCTTTAAAAAATTGCCATACTGTTTTCCATAGAGGCTATAGTTGTTTACACTCCCATCAATAGTATAGAAGTGTTCTTTTTTCTCTACATCCTTGCCAACATCTATTGTTTTTTGATTTATTAATCATGGCCATTCTTACTGGAGTTAGGTGGTATCTTAATGTGGTTTTGACTTGCATTTCTCTGATGATTAGTGAAGCTGAGCATTTTTTCATCTATCTGTTGGCTGTTTCTATGTCTTTTGAGGAGTGTCTCTACATGTCTTTTGCCTGCTTTGTAATAGGGCTGTTTGTTTTGATGGGGGACTTTTTGTTATAGCTTTGATCTCATTACTCATTGTTGGTTTATTGAGGTTTTCTATTTCCTCATGGTTAACTCTTGGTAGGTTGTACATGTTCAGGAATTTATGCATTTCTTTTGAGTTTTCCAGTTTGTTGGCACATGATTGTTAATTACAGTGCCTAATGATTCTTCGTATTTCTGTGGTCTCTTATGTTTTCTTTTTTGTTTCTGATTTTACTTATTTGGATCTTCTCTCTTTCTTCTTAGCTGCTCTAGCTAAAGATGTGTTGATTTTTGTTTATGTTTTCAAAGAAACAACTTTTCATTTTGTTAAGCATCTGTATTATTTCTCAGTTTCAATTTCATTCAGTTTTTCTCTGATCTTTATTATTTCCTTACTTCTCCTACTTTTGGGTTTGGCTTGTTCTTGTTTTTATAGTCTATTGAGGCATGTCATTAGGTTGTTTATTTGAAGTCTTTCTACCTTTTTGATATAGACATTTATTGTTAAAAACTTCCCTGATAGTACAACTTTTGCTTTACCCCATAGGTTTTGGTATGTTGTAGTTTTATTTGTTTCAAGAAATTTTAAAATGTCCTTCTTAATTTCTTCAGTGACCCAATTGTTGTTCAGGAGCGTGCTGTTTAATTTACACGTATTTGTATAGTTTCTGAGGTTCCTGTTGTTATTGCTTTCTAGTTTTGTTACATGGTGGTCAGAAAAGATACTCAATATGATTTCTGCTTTAAAAAATTTGTTCAATCTTGTTTTGTGGCCTAAGATATGATCTATTCTGAGAATGTTCCATGTGGTAATGAAAGAATGTATATGAATATTCAGGGAATGATTCTTGTTTTAATTAAAAATATAATTAAATATCTGCTGTTTTGTCTAATGCAACTAGTTAAAATGTATTTCTAGATTGCCATGATTAACTTGTTTTGGAATTTGTTAATGATGGTTCATTAATATTATAAGTATCATCTTTTGTTATCTTTGATCCCTCATGTGTGAAGAAAACTTACCAGATTTTTATAACTATCAAGAATATAACTGTGGGGAAAATGAATTGGACATTCCTAGCTAATGATTTAAGTAAAAATTATTTTAATCATATTCACTTTAGTATGTTTCCAGTGAAAATTTCTTATAAAAATTCACACAATGTCTGGAAAATTGATTAGTTAAAGCTTTAATACTATAAATCTAGACAGGGCCCAACTTACCTGCATGCTCTTAATGGTTATTTAATAATAACTTAAATATTTTGAGCAATTTTTTCCTGGTATATGCTGAGGGCTTTGCATTATTTTGCTTTATCTAACAACTTTTTTTAGGTACATAGATAATTTTTTTAGGTACATAGATAAATTATCTATGTACCTCTTTCCATATGAGAGAAAAGGTTTAGAAGGTTGTGAAACTTACCCATGATCACAATGCAAATAAATGGTAGAGGCTGGATTTGAACCCAGGAAGCCTGACTTAAGAGACAATATTCTTAACCCCCGAGATAATCTACTTAACTTTGGACCAGTGGATGTTTTTGTGACCAATATTTATTTATGTCCTTGAGCAATGATGTCTTAGGGTTCTAAGGTAATTAGAGGAATAAAAAAAAACTTAGGCCATTTTATTGTGGTGTTCATGAAATTTAGGAAATTGTCAGTCCAAACCTAATTCCCAAAGAGAAACTTTCATAAAAATTGTGTAGGACCTGATATTGAGTATCAGCTTGAGTCTTTTCTTACTTCTTTCTTTGGATTGATAACCGCGTTCCATAGGATTTCAAAGGGGAACGCCTATCTACATCTACAGTTTCTTCATAACTCTATCTCAATGCTTTTGAATGTTTTAAGCTACCTAGAATTTACATATAATAGAGGCTAGGATTTTACCAAAAGCTGAAAAAGTGAGCAAAACTAGAAGTTTTATAAAGCTATAGTCAATGCTTTCAAAAGAACAAAAAGTAAATTGTCATACATATGTTAAGCTGTGCACAGGTATTCATGCTTAAAGAAGTTTCACATCCATTTGAATATTAAGCTTCCCCTTTGGACGTATTATGAATGTTGTTAAGAATTTCAAGTGAATCCCCAAAAGTTTTGTTTGTTAGATTACAGCTGTAATAATGTGTGCCTGCAATTAATAAAAAATAGTAAAATTCAGAATATAAAATGTTAAAGTATAAAGGATTTCCAAGTTGATAATTATATTCAGCTGCCAATAACAAAGACTCCCCAAATGGTGGTTTAAACAAGATAAAAGTTTATCTTTTTCTCACATAACATAAAAGAAATTCAGAGTTTGACAATTTCATAGTCATTAAGGACCCAAGCTACTTCTTTCTTTTTATTTAGCGCTCTTTAGTGCATGGTTCCAATTGTCATGGTCCAAAGTTCAACTATCAAATCCAAGTAGGAAGTAGAAAGAAGAAAGGCAGGAAGGTTTAAATGGACTCATATCAGTTGTCTATTCTTTTGTTCTCCTTTAGGATGCTTTCCCAGAATTCCACCCTACAACTTTCCTAGAAGTTTCCTATATATTTTAATGGCTGAGACTTAAGTCTATAGCAACAACTAGCTACAAGAAGGACTAGAATATTGCTACCCAGAATAAAATCAGGCTTCTTTTACTAGGAAGGGGTATATGAGGGGGGACAAAACAAAAACAAAAACAAAATTATATATTGGAGGGCAGGCCACTTGCAGTACAGGCTTCTCCCATGAGGCAAGTGTTCTAGGAACCCATTGGTATCAGTATACCAGTAGTGTTGTGAGAGGTTGCATTTGGCCTTGGTGAATTTTTTTTGAGATTCTTTAAACGTGTTTGCCCATTTCATAATTTACGAGTCTACCTGCCTATACCACACTGAGTGTTTAGCAGCTTTGGACCAAAATCAGCATGACCTTCATGCCCTACCTTTACTATTCATCCAGTCTTGCCCCAAGCAACATTTTTTTGTTTCCCAGGATGAGAAAAGTATCAAAGGGAAGAGTTTGGTCAATGTAGAATAGGTGAAACAAAAAATGGCAGAAGCACTAAAATGGCATTAAAATTGTGAGTTCAACAACTGTTTTGAGCAGTGGAAAAAGCATCTTGATAGGTATATTGCATCAGATGGAGAGTACTTTGAAGGTAACTGAGCTGGGCTTGGTGACAGCCTGTAATCCCGCGCTTTGGGAGGCTGAGGTGAGTGGATTGCCTGAGCCCGAGGGTTCAAGACCCACCTGGGCAACTTGGCGAGACCTCATCTCTATAAAAAATAAAAAAATTAGCCAGGCATGGTAGCGCACGCATGTAGTTCCAGCTACTTGGAAGGCTGAGGAGGAAGGATCGCCAGAGCCCAGCGGGTTGAGGCTGCGGTGGCCGAGCTGCCACTGCACTCCAGTCTGGGCGACAGAGTGAGAGACTCCAACTAAAAAAAAAAAAAAAGAAAAGAAAAAGAAGGTGACTGAAGTTTAAACATATAAAAATAAATACATACTTTTTTATAAATAAATTCTGAATGTTTTTGGGTCCCCCCTCATATCTGTTTTTGGAAAGCAGCCGGCAGCCTCTGGCATCTTATCCAGGCTTTTAAGTTTAAGTTATGTAAGACCCAGACTTCCACAGTTGTCTATATAGCTACATAGTGACAGTTATAATCAGAACCCAGATGTCTTGCTGACCTGTTTAACTAGAAGGTACATAATTGTTTCTACTAATGATAAACTGGATAAAATGATAGTAATCAATCTAGCATTAATACAAGAGATTTTCTTTGCCTCTTTACCTCAACATCCCTCACCCCCTGGATAGTTCAAAATATTATTGCTGCTTATTTGATAAGCCTTTCTAACTATGATCATTTTTCCCTCAAGGTACAAGTCATGCTGGCTATCCAGATTCTGTTATTAAAATTAAAGGTAGTTTTAGTAGACTCTAGCACTTAACATTTGTTTTTGTCACTAATGGTTTTATGACTTTGGGTAAATTTAAAAAATTTTTTTCTTACAGCATAGCTGAAATACAGAAAGATGTGGAATACAGATTGCCATTTACCATAAACAACCTGACAATTAACATTAATATGTGAGTAGAATTACATCCTACTTTTTCATGTAATAGGAATTAAGATTTTTTTGGTTTTCTGTTTCTTAGTTATTATTAGATATAAATTATTAAATGTGAACTTATTTAAAATAACTATAAAATAGTGCAAAATTTAGTGAAATAAAACTTTTTAAAAGATATCACTGTAATATTGCTGTAAGAAAGAAACTATAAAGGAGGAAATCCAGTAAAAAAGTACAGTAATAATCCTTAGTAATTGTTTTTATTGATTAGCACTAAAGTTTTTGCTGGAGGCAAAATGATAATGAAAAACAAAGGAATCATGTATGGTAAACCATTAGAGCTAGATTCACTTTTACATCAGAAACAAATTAATATGTCCCAAATTTCAGCAACAGATATACTACATCCACCAGAAAGTTCAAGGCTGGATTTGATATGCTGATTTTATTTATTTATTTATTTATAAAAAGCAGGATTTATTGAAAGGACAGAAGAGCTCCCACAATGGGAGGGGACCCAAAGGGGTTGCCTCTGATATGCTGATTATTTTAAAGAAAAAAAAAGTTAAAAATAAAATTATAGAGGCTTTTATGTAAGTTACAAAGAGAAAAAGTTGGACAGAGTGATTGCTGAAGTATCCATTTAGCCTCATATGCAATGTTGAGTCTGTCATGTGAAAGAATTAAGTAATTACCGCAGATTGAAGAAGGTAGCTGCTGCTAGGGCAAGTGTTTGGGACAAGCGAGAAGGCTGCAGCCTTATTCACCTTCACGTTCTCATTTCCTAACATGGTCCCTGTGCATAGATGACCTTATTAAATACTAGTTGAATGAATTACTTAAAGCATGAATATGTAAATGAGCCAAGCATTATGCTATGTTAACTTGATATATATGAGCTTTTTGACTCCTCACAGCAGCCCCGAAAATTAGGGCAAATTACAGACGCATGGTTAGTAAATACAAAACCAGATTGACTGGGCTCCAAAGGTCATTTATTGTCTTTTTTACCAAAATAGTTTAAAAATCTTCAGCTTTACAAATGAAGTAGTCTTAGTTCTCATCAACTGCTCAGGTAGAGCTAGCTAGGTAGGGCGAACAAGGACCCATTTCTTTTTGAAAGTACTGCCAGCAAATCGTTTCTGAGCCAACAGGGAAACAAAGAAGCGATTCAAAGGGAATTATTCTTCTGAGTTTTAGAGATTTGGCAAACAGGATTTCATACCCAGTAAACTCCCATTTTTAAGTCTTCACTTGCTAATTTTAATTTTCGTAGTAGTTAAAAAAAAAGTTTAAATGTTCACTTTTTTTTGTATTGGGAATTTACAGTTCTTTACTTGAAACTATGTTATTGACCTCAGAGTTGAGAGAGATGTATTCATTGGGACATTCAGAACTAGGGAGCCATGTAGAACCAAGGCATGATAACAGCTACAACATTTCAATCCTAGTACTTTCCAATTTCTCCACTTACTCTTTAGAAATGCAATAAGTAGTGAAATAATTCTTGGTGGTATTTTATTTATTTTTATTTTATTTTATTCTTTTGAAAGATGGGGTCTTGCTATATTGCCCAGGCTGGACTGAAACTCCTGGGCTCAGGCAACTCTCCAGCCTCAGCCTCCCAAGTAACCGAGACTGTAAGTGCACACTACCGTGTCTGGCTTGGCAGCATTTTAAAAGTAGAAAAATCACAAGAAAATTATATGGCCAGGACCCATGGTCCAAAATAATTATCAAGACTGGACTACTGTGGTTCACCTGATCAAATTCCTGTTGTGATTTTTACCAGTGATTTTGTATAACTTGGTATATTGTATTTAAAAGCAATTAATGATATGATATGAAGAATGTAATTCAGCATGTCCATATTTCACATTAAGATTTTACTGTATTGAATGACTGTATAGTCTTGTTGCCAAATTGTATTCATTATATATTTTCAGTCAACCCCACAATCATAATAGAGCTTTTATTACTAATTAATCCATATCAAAATGTGAAAATTTAATTTTCTTTTAACTTTATTTTAAAATTTTTGACTATATAATATACCACTTATTATCTTTTTGTTTTTCATCTGTTCTGCCTTTACCAGATTGCTTCCTCCACAATTTCCTCAGGAAAAACCAGTGATCAGTGTTTATCCACCAATACGGCATCACTTAATGGATAAGCAAGGAGTATATGTTACCTCTCCACTAGTAAACAATGTATGTATATGATATAATTTATTTCAGAGTACTATAACAGGTATATTGCTTTTCTACTAAATATTTTAGGTATCTAAAATGCATTTAAAATTGTCTTGTCATTAGTAATTTTCAAAAAAAGTGTTTCCTTAAGACTGTAGTTAAAGTTCTTAACATTATGATATGATTAATTAATGTAAAGGATTATAACTTACATATTTCTCTGGTATATACCTTTGAACCCTCAAATTATTTTTTATTTTATTTATTTTATTTTTTTGAGTTGGAGTCTCACTCTGTCGCCCAGACTGGAGTGCAGTGGCCGCTCCCGGCCACCGCAGCCTCAACCTGCTGGGCTCCGGCGATCCTTCCGCCTCAGCCTTC